CAAACAAGAATTGAACGGTATGCTTCTCTCGTTAAGCAGCAGAAGATTGAGTAGGCCGGAATGAACGATGACACAATCGCTTTATCAGAACAGTGGACTGAGGTTACATCAGGTTCCAACAATCTTCCGTTCTGGGGATCAATGCACCCTTTCCTATGAAACTGAGTTAACGAGTAGAGGACACGATAACGTTGTATTATTCTTGCACAGTTAAACAATATGAAACTTGTGAACGATGCACGGAAGTTTCCGCATTTGATTAAAGCGTCGAATCGATTAGATCGCTCGAACGATAGCACAGGTTTTTCTAATGACCGATGGTAGATTAGATTTTGCAGCAAGGACAGCTGAATGGCGCGATCTTATTCTCGAGTAAAGTGGAATGATAAATGGAACGGGTTGATTGAAGTATAATGTGCTACAACACGTGGAATTTGTATTGTGTTCGTGTGCAGCTAGGTAGGTCTAATTAACGCGTACGATGTATCTTCTTCCGTGTGGAGGGAAATGTTAATTGCTGCACGTTGATCATGACCGACTACCAGGAACAAAATTGTTTAACACGATGCAGGAATGTGCAGCTTATGCAAATGGTTGCGCATTTTTCATATTTTGCATATTTTGCACATTTCACCTGTGCACCTGATAAGTATCTACACTTCGCTGATTGCGATCTCAAGTGAAATTCTGTGCCAAGATGTGTCAGGATAATAAATACGTTTCGTAGGAAAATTCCGCAAACTGGAACAACAGGAATTATTTGATCAAGTGGACCAGATTAAAAATACTTCCATTTTGAGATTGTTTCGAAGTGATCCTTGCGATAGAAACACCCTCTTGCGTACGACATAATAGTTCCTTGTATTGATCGAAGGAACAGTCTGATCAGGACTAATGCGCTCTGTCAACCGTCCAATTGCGTCCTTGTCAACATTCGCAATACGGAAACTCGTTGAATAAATAACCCGTTTACTCCTACTCTGTTAAGATCTAAGTCGCATTTGTCACGGAAAAAGTATACTTTCCGCTGCAGTCTTAAACACTGATATTTTTTAATCGAATAGTTGAATTTTCATATGTGAAGAGGTGGATCTCTTCAACTTTCAATCCCTAATTCTTCAGCAATGTCTTTAGCGGCTAATTTCAAAATTTTCCAGTTCATTTTACCCCTAAATGAGAGAGCTTATCTCGCAGGAGGTAATGAAGCTTATCTCGAAAGAATTACGGAGTCAAGTTTAATGTCAGTGGCACGATGAAAATATCGCGGGTTCGCGCGCAACAGATCACGTTTATGCATTTTAGGGGGAGTCATTATCTCGGCAGGAAAGCATGAATCGTATGCATAATGCATTTTCTGGCCAGGATCGATCTTTTATGGCGTGCTGATACGGCAAGGCTAGATCGTCCGCGATGCGTCGCGAAAAAGACATATTGCGAGCGAGACAGATCCCGCGTGATAACACTGCATGCGACTGTTTATGCAAATGTTGCTGCACTCGTTTTCGAGCGTTGCACGCGCGCTCGCTTCGTTACCTGCTAATGGAAATGCACGTGTTGCACCTTGATACGCTATTTGAGAATGTCAAACAGAATTTCTTTGATGTGTTGTGCGAGCCAGTTGCGATTGGTAATCGCGGAAAAAAGAGATTGGAAACAACGTTTACAAAACGAAATACGTGCAGACCGAATCGATCCATGCGGTGGAATTTCGAGCATCGCCGAAAATGACGCAACGAAACATAGTTCTATGCTAATCTCTCGATTCGCACGAAACTTCCGGTGCGCCATGCAGGGTGTACACTATTTTTACTGCTGTACAGAAACAAGGCCGTATTTCGGAACTTCCCGTTTTAGATCGGTTAAATTAGAAATCTGCATGGCTCGATTAATCGAATGATCTCCGAACGATTCGAGAACCACTCGGTATATAAAATTGAAGATACACATATTATTTTGCATCGCTATCGGGCCGCTGCTGTGCATGCTTAAAGGGTCAGAGAGCGGGCCATCTTAAACCGCACGATAAATGGAAAAAATAAGAGGAGAGTACGAAGGGAGCGAAAGGTCGGATTACAAGAGACCGTTCGAAGAATCTGTTTCGAAACCGAACAGTTTCATGTTCACGATGATGAAGAATCCTAACCGCAAGATACTACACGTGCTGCAACTCGAACATTTTTAAACACTAATTTATTGACAAATCGTACACACAAAATTTATATACACTATACTTAACTATAGAGGTCTAGGGAAAATAGAATCTAGGGATATTGTATTTCAGAGATACTGAAATCTGGAGACATAAAATTCTATGCACACTGGGATTTAGAAATTTTTGAAATTAGGAAGATTAAGATCTAGGGAATTTTTTGAAGTACTTATTTCTTGATTTAGTAATTTTTTTGATTTAGTGAATTTTTTGATTTAGTGATTTTTTGGTATTGTCAATTTTTTGGTTCAGTTATTTTTTGATCTAGTGATATTTTTGTCTAGTGAATTTTTCGATCTAGTGATATTTTTGTCTAGCGAATTTTCGATCTAGTGATTTTTTTGATCTAGTGAATTTTTTCATCTAGTGAATTTCTTGATCTAGTAAATTTTTTGATCTACTGAATTTTTTGATGCAATAAATTTCTTGATCTAGTGATTTTTTCGACCTAGTGAATTTATTAACCTACTGAATATTTGAGTCTAGGGATTTTTTGGATCTACAGGAGTTTTGAAAAATTGGACCTTGAAAATATAGGGATATAAGGATTTTTATATATAGGGAAATTGAAATCTAGAGATATTAATATCTAGAGACTTTTGTATCTAAAAATTTATATCTTAATGTAACATAATACAATAAATAGATTCTCGGTAAAGTTACTAGAGAAATTATTGTAAATAACGTAATTCGACAATCGAAATATCGATCGATAATAAAAGAAATAATTAGCGGGAAATTTGAATTGTTAATTAAATAGTTCCAACTCGAACACAGGTCAATGGATCGAAACGTAAATATGTGCGTCGTAGGAACGCGAGAAAGTTATACAGTTCGAATTAAAAGTTAACCTTTCGCGATCTTGCGCCAAATCAATTTCGTTGCGTTTCAATTCGATTTCGAAACAGCGATACGTTGTGATAACGATTGTTTGTGACGACGAAAATAAACGCATCAACGGAATTGAATCGTTTCAACTAATTCATTTATCAATACCAAAAGCAGCAGCTGTAAATAGATAGGACAAAAAGTTAATTAAATTTCAAATTGTTGCACACGAGTTTTTTTCCATGGTACATCGTACAAAGATCGCAACTAGTTACGCACCACCTGTTTTTTTAAATATCGTACAATTTCAAATCAGTATTATTTAACTTTGAGATAACTCTTTTGTATCAGAACTTATGCAATTTTATCTACGTGCTTGTAAATATTAAGAATTATCGGTGAAAAATGTATTCGGGATCTTGAGAGGCATTTGCAATTTAATGGAAACATCACGTACTTCCGATTAACCGCGAAAAGTGGAAATAGAAAGTTTCATTGATCGAGTATAATTACAAGCAAAGACAACTCGGAAGATAACACGAACAGATACCTACGTGACAATGTTTAACATATGTATGCAGCTTATTTAACTATTCAAGGTTATCATTGAAAGAAAAGAATAAATAATATAAATGCAATGTAATGCCAAAATAAGACAATACAAGTTTTTACAGCGCAATCTGTGAATGACATTTAGAAACGAAGAAGAAAGCTTTCATCATTCTGTTCGCTGATAAAGAAACGTTAATCCAACAAAACAATTTACATTTCTACGAAACACTCGATCCACACTCCAGTCCAATCCATAAGTACTCGATACAACAAATAATACGACAAAAATACAGTCGATTACGATAAATGTATAAAGTATGGATTCGCGTACAAATAACACGAGACCGCCGTTCAAATCGATATAGCACAATATCGTATGTAATCGAGCTTCGATACGAATCTTTTATCAACGATATTAAAACAAATTTATGACTCCATACTTAAAGAACTAAATTTTTCTTCGAAAGTTTGTCGCTATTGCCAATCGATAAATGACGTTGCATTTTACTTCATACATGAAAATGTCACAGTCGAGTTTTTAAATATTTCTTGTACAAATTTATTTAATTTTTATATATTCAATTATTTCTATATTGTTTTCTTTACTTTTTGCATACTTTTCATTTCCTGAACACCTTTTCACATCACTTTACATTGTACCAAATACAAATTTTGTGTACTACAACTTTTCGAAGTTAGAATTTACAGCATGAAGTTTTTCAAATTATGAATTTTAAATATTCAAGACTGGCAACATGAAAATTTCAAATATTACAGTACCGAGTATTTCTAGGTCTCCTAACATTTCTGTTTTTATAAAAATATCACAAAATTACTTTAAATACTTATGCTTCAATTAGAATTGATTTACATTTTAATTTATGTTTCCCAGCTAGAAATTTCTAATATTAAATTTCCAACGTGGTACCATAATGAGGTTGCCCACACAAGGGTTAAACTCTCGCTATCGCAGAATGAAATAATATCGTTACCTCGATTTGATAGTTCATACGTTATAGCTTGATTTCACTTATTTTCCATAAGCACCGAAAAAAATCATGATTCATCGAAACATCGGCGTTACATGAGCGTTATCGCAATCTCGCGGCCGACAAACCAGCCGTTCTCGATTCGTTCAATAATTTGAAATGCAATATCGATCGATCGTTAAGTCACAGAATATGGAAACGAGGCGACAAGGAAAAAGAGAAAGGGGAAACGTAACGTACCAACGAAAGAACTTGAATGCGTGAAATGACGGAGAAAACGTTCATTTCCGTAGAAACGAGCGGCTCGTGAATCGTGTATGTTCTCGTGTCCAAAATGGCTGGTCGCTAAAATTAGCGTCGGAAGCAACCAAATGATACCAGATAGGAGGTCGCCGTCGTTACCATGCCCTGGTTCCACTCACCTTGACGTCGAAGAAAAGTCATATAAAATGGTATCGCCCTGCTGGACGGCCGCCTTCTAGCGTGAAAATTGAACGGGTGTTCGTGGGTGTATCGAGACAGATGGATCGCCCTGTCGGGTGCACCCCAGTGTCTCGTTTTACGTCTTTCTACGATGTCGTCCTACAAACGTCGTTCGAGATGTCGGTTGATCGCGTTGGGTTGACAACGTGCCGATGCTTCAGCTTTTCTTGCACGATGACAAGTATCCCTGTCGTCGAAATGCTATTTACTCAAGAATTCTTCGGTTGTACGTGATGTACGTAACGTTTTCAGCTTGTAACGAGCACACGAAACGTTCCGGCTTCTCAGACGGCTACTGCCTGAATACAACTGCAAACGCTCGAAGAAACCAGGGCCGTAAACGTGACTCATGATTCCTGCGATGATAGCGGCGCCCCCATACTGCTTATTATACTGTAGTAAAAACACTATGTTTTTGCTGATTTGTCACGTGACTCGGCGGTATCACTGACAATGATGCAATATCATTTTTGCAATTTCTTTAGAGCTCGTGACAAGAATTTTATCAATACTTGTCACTGGAATACTATCATGCCGACTGCAAGTGTATAAAAATTTAGACGAACGATATTGGCACTTAAAATAACCTTATTTGCTTGTACTTTTAGTACTCTCGATTTAAATTACGTGAGATAACAATAATAGTATCTCTCGTAGATGTATAGTTTATGCTCGAAAAAGAGGATGCTGCGGTAAAGTGTTTCGTAGCATAAATTATTCAAAACATAAGGAAATTAATAGGTATTTGCAACATCTTTATGTAAATTACTAATTATAATCGTTGCTAGTTCCAATAAACGCGTATTATATGTATGAGAACGTTTAATGAACTATTTGTTAAGTATTAAAAATACGTACAGGTCATTTACAAATTTGCCGCTGAAAAAAAATACATGTAACAATTTATTAGGGAATTTTTATACCCTATGAATTTCGATATATATATACTTTCTTTTACGTGCTCTGATGCAACATCAAAAGCAGATATCAGTTATAATGATTGCACTAGTATTGCGCTAGTCGTGTAATCGGTAACATAACCTTTCAATCATTGCAATGAAGTGTTTTGAACATAACCTTCACGTGCAAAAGTAACTCCACGCGTGAGTCGTATTATAACTCTCATTATGTGTATTAACTGTAATTAAATATAAGTAGTATATAATATAATTTATGCTCATTTATTTGGTGGTATATATAGTATACTAAATGTTACCACAATATAATTCATAGTCACATCAGAACTTTGTTAGTTAAAAGGCAACCTATCTGCTACTGATCTCTAATTTATAATTGTGATACATTAAAACATATTGTAGAAAATGACTTCTCCATTTACTTGTATCACATGCCGTGTGGCATTTAAAGATTTGGAAATACAAAGACAGCATTATAAGTCAGATTGGCACAGATATAATTTGAAAAGGAAAGTGGCTGAATTACCTCCTGTTACTGTGGAAGAATTTCAAAAAAGGGTAATTGCTCAAAGGACTAAAGATGATCAACAGAAAGAAGAAGAATCAATGAATTGTAAGACATGTAGAAAAAGTTTCAATACAAAAAACCAATATGAAAATCATTTGGTATCAAAGAAGCACAAAGAAAAGTGTGTGAAACAAAGTACAGCTGCTGAAGCTATGGATGAAACAGAAGACAGGGATAATAATGTGTCACCTGATTCTGTGACTAGTAGAGACATGAATGAAGAAAGTTGCAGTAGTACCAGTAAGCATTGGAGTAAGGATGTGGAAATGGATTCTGATGTTGAGTCTCTAGATTCTGATGAATGGCTTGAAGACACTGAGAATCCAGTGAAAAATAATGATTGCTTGTTCTGTAATCATCATAGTAGATCTCTGATACGCAATTTAAAACATATGACTATTGCACACTCATTTTTCATACCAGATCCTGAGTACTGTGTTGATATTAGAGGATTGCTTGTATATCTTGGAGAAAAAATATTTGCAGGATATATGTGCATTTGGTGTAATGATTCAGGTAAGCAACTTCAAATTTATTCTCTTATATTTACATAATGCTTAGTAAATAAATAACATTTGTTTAATAAATTAACAGGAAGGACTTTTCAAAGTGCTGAAGCAGCTAGAGCACATATGATAGATAAAGGTCATTGCAAAATGTTGCATGAAGGAGATGCACTTGCAGAATATGCAGAATTTTATGATTACTCTTCAAGTTATCCTGATGCAGATGTTGCAGATCCAAATGCAGAAATTGAGATACCAGAATTAGATGATAGTGATTTTCAACTTATATTACCATCAGGAAATGTTATTGGTCATCGATCTTTGCTGAGATATTATAAACAAAATTTGAATCCAAACAGAGCTCTTGCAGTATCAAAGAGTAAAAAATTGCGCAAAGTATTATCACAGTACCGAGCGCTTGGATGGACGGAAACACAGAAAGAAGCTGTTATTAAGAAAGTCAGAGATATCAGATACATGCAAAGGATACAAGCTAAATACTCTACACAGTTGCAGTTTAAAGCAAATAAATTACAAAAGCACTTTAGACCCCAAGTTAACTTCTAGATATTATTATCCGTCTAAATATCATTGCAAGACTGCATTCCTTCTTAAATTATATATCATTTTTATCAGAAATTAATTGTTACATATGCTTAGCGCATATTTGTAAATCTTTTGTTCAAATAAAATTGTACTTATTTAGTTGAAAACCGCATTTAGATCTTAAATCTGTTAGAAGGGCATGTTACGAGGCTTTAATCATTATAAATTGTAATATTTATTTGATGGATAGTTTTACAAAATAATTCGTAATATATTTTCATAATATGTGACACCGACAAAAATAATATTTCTTGTAACTTTTACTTTATACTCATATGGACCCATTACCAAGTGATACCTGTAACCATGAGCTGAGTCACCGTTTTCGATAAATTATTATACACGGAGCAAGAAGACAATCCGTGTTTCTGCGCTTTTTTGACGGCTATAAAAAAACATGTACACAATCGAAAATGTCGAAAATTGTGTACCATGCATGTATACGATATACTTTCAATTTACCACCGGCAAACTGTAGAATCTACATAAGAATCAACAAATGTCAATGTACAACATTTGACACGACTTTTATTTTCAATCACATTTCTATTGTCGAACGATATACGCTGAGATTCCCTTATGACATACATAAAGACGTAACTTTTTTTTTTATTTGTTATATATCATTTATCACGTTAACCAGAGCAACTTCGATAATTCATATTGAGTCAGCAAACTGCAGAATAAAAGAACCATCCAACGAAACGTTAAGTGGATCCTTGTTCTCGCATTTGTCAACTCGAATGTTTTAACTTTGTCTCAATAACGATACATTAGTTGGAACACAGATAATGGGTGGTAACCGATGTTTCGAATTTTGTAATACTTTCTAAGAGAAACACGCGGTCCACCCTCTATAGATACAAGTACTTTGTAAATGCGTCTTTAAGACAAACATACACATTAGAGACCTGTTATTGTCACACAACGATACACATAGTTTACACTACTCTTCATTCGTGAAATTCTTTTGTTTACCGAAGCTCAATACGTTAAATCTCGTTTCGTTTAATTCAACAATTTCACCATTAGCTTCAAAGCTTGATGGGGAGGAGCCGGTCTGATCGACTCGTCGAGATCCGAATACAAAATTTCAGCTTCCTCCTGAAAACCATGTTTTAAGCAAACTTTTTGCGAATACAGCCCCGTAGCGTCAGCTTTGAACACCTGTAAATATATTAACAATTTGAGCACAGTATTTAGGAGGATATTCTGCTTTTACACGCAAACATTTACATACAATTCGTACGAGGTACACTGCGTGCAAAAATACCTCTCGAGAAAGTAACGAGTGCATTACACCTTGATAAACGAAAATCATCCCATGCATATTAATCGAAGAACATGCTGAAACAAAAACAAAATGTGAACTTCGAGCGGTCACATTTATCCCAACAGATCGTGCTATACGTAACATCTTATCGTGTGTAACTTAGGCTTCTCTTTGTTTGAGAAGTGTAAGGGAAGAAATATTGATAATCCATGTGGGCTTCTTCTATTTTCCTGAGAGTCTTCTAGAAACTTCCTACTTCTGAAAGTCCCTAGGGACCCTTTTTAGTCCCTAAGATCCCTCTTTCTCTTAGCATAGACTCTTCCTATTCTCTTCTTAAGCTCTTCCTCAATTCTTCATTTCTTCCAAATACTTCTGCCCTTACACTTACCCCTGAGAAAAACCTTGTTGCACCAAAGTGTATAAAATTGCTGTTAAGAAAATAGTTGAGGCATATTATTATAGTTACATATAAAATATTATAATGAACACACATATATGTTCAGAAATTATAACTGAAATTTAAATACATATGTGCGGTATAATTAAAATAAGCTTCTACACCCTAGTATCTTTGACAATGCATGCTTTAACATTTATAATATTCAATATACATATATATGTAGTAGACCATTGTTATAATTGCAGTCAGATTACCTTGAAGCCAGCATTCCTCGCTGTTTCTATACTGTCTGCCATTAGAACATTCGCCAAACCTTTTCCACGGAAGTTCTCGTCCACGCTGAGGATTCGACACTCAAACAATTCCTCGACGTTGTATTTGGCAAAGAGATCAACTTTTTCGTTAACTTTGTAAAGAAGACCGAAGATTGTTTTGAATTTCTCATCGCTCAGCTCGGCCAGTCGACGTTCAGCTTCTTCCCGCTCCCCTTTCTTCAGTATACCGTTCAAAGCCATACCAGCTATCTGATGGGACATTAAGATTAACTTAATCTTCAATACGTTATAAAAAAGTTAATGATACATGAATCATCAAATTGAAGAAAATCAAACATCTCTAGTTACAGAATTTGTTTTCTTCAGTTCAACTTACTGTTCCATTCTGATCAACCAGCATCCTCGAGTATCCCTGTTTCAAAGTCAGCAGGCAGTGCCTCTCCAGTTCAAACTGGCTGTCTCCTTTTTCGCATAGTCCTACCGCATGATTCAGTGGTTCATCAGAAAAGAAATTCCATTTTAAATGATGGATCGCATCTTCGAAGCGATTTTCTGGAACTTTCACAACTGTTAAATGATCAGACGACATCTTTGGGATGGTCACGGCACGAATTTTCCGCGCACTGAAAGGATTTTCCACGCGCGCACCACCCTTAGTAGGGAGAGTAGACTCATATGGGAAAAGGTCCATATATTGATTGACCCAGTTCAAGGAATTTACTAGCTACAATTGATTATGTATTCTTCTTAATTAATTCCCATCGCAGGGTACGCAATACATGCCCTAATGGTGTCTGTAGCTATCCAATGTAGATATGAAAACGCCCATGTATATCAGACATGAAATGTACCATTGTAAAATTAAGGAGATCCTTTGATGTAAAGTAATGATGCACAAAATAAATGGATACTCTTTAAAGGAGTGTAATGTTGTTGGATAAAGAAGAATATAATCATTAGAGTATAGATATGTATGTACATGTTTATTCATAAGTTTTTACTAAATGATTCTATAACCTCCCACAACGTTACATTTATTGGCGCTGAACGGCATCCTTATTAACAGAACAGCAACTCTTTTGAGTGCATTTATACATGATACAGTTTCAGCAAACTTCAAACCGCATAATTAACAGAAGGCATTATTTTAACATTTTTCAATTGATATATATCTATTTTCATGTGATGCATCACAGGAGTAATATAATTAAAAAATGTTAGCAATATTGTAACTGTTACTTTGCTTACATAAATCTTTAAGATTTCGATAACATAATACATATTGTCTTATAAGTTTTACGTAAGGACTATATGTCTTGATCATACTTCATTGGACTCGCTCTTCACACATTCGTTCAGAATGGAAACATACTTTTTAATACTTCAAAGTGTGGAAACAAATTATTTACAGTGTTTAGAATAAAAGGTCATCATCACCTTCATCAAGCATATTTGCAGCTTCCATGTCTCTGCCTTCAGCTTTTCTTTCTGCTCTAATCTTGTCAAGCTGAAATGTAATCAGAACATTGTATGAGTATTAAACTACATAATAAATATATCAATCTTCAGGATTCAAATTGTACCTTAGCTTTAGCTTGTTTCTTCTTATCCTGAATCTTCTTTAATCGATAGAACTCTTCTCTTTCTAGTTCATCCAATTCTGATATTATATAAGCAAGAGTTCTTTCGATTCTTGGAATGATAACGTGTTCAATTGCATTCACACGACGATTTGTGATTTTAATAACTTCATCCAAAGTTACAAAACTGGTCTGCAAAGATGCTAATTCCACTAATAACTTAACTGCTCTCTGATAATTCTTTTTCAATTTTGCCAATTGCTGACCACCTCTAGCCAACCCAGCTAATTCATAAGTATCCGTGCCATCTTGATAAGACTCGAACACTGGAAGATTGACACCAGCTACATTATCTTTCTTGGAACGAATCTTAATTTGTGCTTTTGTCACATCTTGGAGGACTACTTGATTAAAGTCTCCTGTTGCAAATTTTGCTTCGGCCAATGAAAATGCTGCTTCTTTCATTACCTCTCCCATAAGAGTTTTTGTCTACATATAAAAGCAATACATAGAAACATTATAGCAATATGATAAATGATAATAATCCATAAAACCATAATTTTTATACCTCAATAATTTTACCCAAAATCAATCTGAATCGCATTTGTAATGCGTCTGCTTTCTTTTTTAACAAACCATGACCTTTCTGTGCCCCTTGTAAACGGGATTTCATTAACATTTGCGCACTGAAAAAAAGACATGTCAGTTAGCGTTATACATCATTTTACTTTCCTTTTTACTGGATTAGTAAGAGATTATAAGTACCAAAGTATATATAATTATCACATAACAATTAATTAGATAAAGAACATATACACTTATGTGTATGCTAACATAATATAAATAGGTTTTATAAATAAGTAACACAACATTGACAATAAAGCAATGTATTTGATGTCAAAGAGTAAATGTTGAAAACAAATTAAGAAGGGGTTACACCCATCTTATGAGAATTCCATACAACTTGACAGAACTTATAGTATTTATGAAATAAATGAAAAATGAAATTCGGTTGCAAGTGAAACAAATCTGAATAACTTATGGGTGAAATACTCACCCCCGAGAGGGGAAAATTGCTAGTTTATCTTTTCCAGACATAGCTATTAACTATCAAGCAGACAGGAATAAGATTGATCAGCTGACTTGTGGGACCGGAAGTTTTCAGATACCTGGCGTAATGATTAAAAGAGCGCGCAAGTTCAAAAAAGCGAAATTTTTTTTGTTTGGCGCTTCCTTTTCCTAAATTCAAATTTCATGTTTCTAAATTTTTAGAATTCAGAATTCCTATTTTTAAGTTTAATTCCAGAAATCTGTTAAACATGGAACCCGATAGAAGTGCTCTGTTTATTTGACTCTACGACGATACTGATAAAACAACTGAACAATTAAATATTTACAGATACGAGTCTATCTATTGTTTCGCGGCTAAGAATGGAAAGAATGAAGCGAATCTCGCATGGGGTGGTCGATGACCGGATTTAATAGAAGAAAGTATTTATTTCTTTTTTTACGTTTTCTTTTAATCTTATATTATAATTAACCTCTACGATTCCTTACGCGTATCGAACATCTTTTGCATGCAAGTAAAGAGCGCTTTTTTAGAAAAATGGAACGTGAAAAAGTATCTGCTATAAAAATTTTGCCTGTTTCCTTCTCGTAAAATTTTAAGGGTAAAATTGCAAAATCCGGCTCCTTAGTGCAGTAAAGAATTATGCAAAGAATATTTTGCAAATAAAGATGCATTTTTGCACATTTTGGGAACCCAAACATCTGTTATCCCTGCCTCTCCCGACCATATGTTATAAAATAAATAAGCATCGCCGAAGCTTATTAACTTTCCGCTAGAATTTTTAAAAATCATGATCGGCGTATTCGGTGTTTACTCATAACCCTAAAGTTTTATTTATTTAGGCATAATGATTCTATGTATTTAAGCATGATTAAGCTATTCTTCATCGGTCTGGATTGAAATTCAATCTTTAGCGCCACGTGTACAGAACGGTGCTATTATCAGCTGAATGTTAATAGCCATTTTTAAATTAACGCGATAAATTTTGAATAAACAAGCATTTAATTTATGCGCGTACATGCGCGTCTCACAGGCAGGAGATTCATTTATGGCGTTTACATACGACATCCAGAAAAGTATGTTTAAATAATGATAAAATTATCGTTTATCGTGATGTAGTTCTTAAACAGTTTGTCAGTTGAGAAAGCGTCGAACCGATCAAAAGAGGTATAGCGCAGTAAAAGGTTTAATGTAAAATGGAAACGGCGGAAATTGACAATGAACGAACTCATACTCGTTCTATAAAATTACCAACAGCAGTGGAAGTGTTTGCAAATTTAAAAAATGCCCAAAAATTCGCAATTGACATTGGTATGTAGTGTATTTCACATTTCTTCAATATGAGCCACAATTTTTGGTTGGAACATAAATTTGATTTTTGAAAGGTTACTTTCTTAAACGCCGTAATTTTGTTATTAAATTAATTACAGGCTTATCATTGACAAAAATAGCTTACTATTCAACGGTTAGTTACCGTAAAGCATTGTATGAGGATACAGGATTAGGAAATAGTGGAGAACGTGCATATAAAGTACACGAAGGAAATAGACTTCACTTTGTTAAATTTGAAACAAGATACATTGAAAATTGTTTGGATTTTGTGAAAGAGAATTTAGTGAATGTTGAACGGTTTCAAGGTAAAAGTATTAAAGTAACTGGCGGAGGAGCATACAAATATACTCCTTTACTGCAAGAAAAATTAGGCTTAACGTAAGTGCTTTATAATATGAAAACAATTAAAAAACTTTATTATACATGTAATAATTATAAATGTAAATATTCCAGAGTCGATAAAGAAGATGAAATGACATGTTTAATAAAAGGTTGCAATTTTTTACTCAAGAATATCCCGTGTGAAGCTTTCGAGTTTGAAAGACACGGTAATCCTGAATATAAATTTCAAAAGGCTGATCCTCATATATTTCCATATATGTTAGTAAATATTGGTAGCGGCGTCAGTATTCTTAAAGTAAGAACAATACATATTGATCTTGTAATATTTAAATAGTTTTAAAACAATTATTCAATAACTTAGATAATATTCTCAGGTGGAGTCTGAAAAAGTATTTGAAAGAGTTGGTGGAACAGCTACAGGAGGAGGAACATTCTGGGGACTAGGTTCTTTGCTCACAAAAAGAAAGGTACTAATATAAATTTTTTCAAATAAAATTAATAACACATAATCTTAAATAACAGAGTGTACACATTATTGAGATGAATGTAAATTTTATAAAAATGTCTTTAATAATTCCCTTGCTAGGGCTTTGATGAATTACTGCAACTTGCAGAACGTGGAGATCATCGTAATGTTGATATGTTGGTAAAAGATATGTATGGGGGTGATTATTCCTCTCAAGGATTACCTGGAGACCTTATTGCAGCTTCTTTTGGCAAAGCAGTGTTTTATAATGGTGAATGATCAAATAATTGGTCGAATGATTAAATGAAAGATTTCAACATAAGACATAATTTAAATTATATACATTCTAGGTCAACCTACATTTTCTGAAGCAGATCTTGCGAGGAGTCTTTTACTTACAATCAGTAATGATATTGGACAAATAGCTAGTTTGTATGCAACTGTACATAAAATGGATAGAGTTTATTTTGGTGGTTACTTTTTACGTAATCATCCTTTGTCAATGCATACCATTTCATATTCCATCAAATATTGGTCAAATGTTAGTTTGGAGAATTTTGTTTACACTACTACGTAATTATGATAAAAAAATATAACTTCTTTTTAAATCTAGGGCAAAGTAAAACCTCTATTTCTTCGTCACGAGGGCTATCTTGGTGCGATCGGAGCATTTTTATATGGTGCTGAACAGTCCAACGAATATAGTTGGTTAGAAAACTATGCAGGATCATCAGGTTTCAAAGATTCGATATCCACTAATCTCGGAATTAAAGTTGCTCAGTTGGAAATTGATCAGGCTGAAAATGCTGTTACATTTTGTCCTCTTTTAAAAGATCCTGCATCTTACAATCCTGATACAACAGACCTTGCTCAAGATAAAGAAGCTAGGTGAGTTGAGTAAACATATATTTTCATAAACACTACATTGTTGTATAATAAGCAGATCGTTAATTTTGATGTCTCTAGAGATTACTGGCTGCAGTGTTTCGAAGAATCTGTAGATAAATTTGTAGCAAGAGCTATACACAGTCAGCCACATAGTCCAACTGCAAAAGATAGAGCAACGAAGTTGAAGGAAAAATATGTTAATAGACTGCATTATCTGCATCTTCAACCATTGTAAGCTCTGATAACTAATAAAAAATGTAATATTTTATAAGAGTATGCAGTTACTTTATATTTTACGATGTTAAGTTAATTAATATAATATTACAGTGCTTATGGAACACTCACTGTGAGAGTATTATTAGACACTATTGAACACTGTATGAAAGAATTCGATTTTCCTGATCCTTATTTGCACGTAAGTTACTTTTAAACTGCGGATTTGTCGTAACTTTGCAGGTGTTTCCAAATAACCTCTAATTTTTTAATATACAGCAAAAAAAGCAGGAGAACGAAGAAGCTTTAAAGCATTTAAAACAGCGTATAACCCTTATCGATAATTTAGAAGGGGCAGAAAAAATAAAAGCTTTAATACTCGGAGTATTAAGTGGTAATATGTTTGACTGGGGTGCGAAAGCTGTCGCAACTTTGATGGAAACCACGGACTTTGGTTTTGCCGAAGCTCAAGCAAAAATACCGGGTACTGCAATGCCTCAGAATTAGTCCCTGACATATCACGAAAAAAGTGCCAACAAGATTCACATGTTATTTTTCTTAAACTTAGGTAGACCTTGGTTACAAGACGACTTGGATGATTGGATAGATAGACTGGAAACGGGACCACCTCATAAGTGTGCTGCTATTTTTGTTGACAATAGTGGAGTTGACATAGTACTAGGAATTTTACCATTTGCACGAGATTTATTACTACGAGGAACAAAGGTTAGTCAAGATATTTTTATGGGTATAAGATCATTTAACAACTTAGGTAAAATCGATTAAGTATTATTGTAGGTTATTCTGTGTGCTAATTCTATGCCAGCATTGAATGATGTGACATATCCAGAGTTAGTTGTAACGTTACGGGACGCTGCAAAAATATGTAAAGTCATCAGACATGCTATTAAGGACAACAGACTGATTGCTATGGAAACAGCTCAAGCTGGTCCTTGCCTGGATTTAAGGTAACTATTCTAAACATGCTCTATACATTGCTATACACGTTCTATATATTTTAACTAATTGTTTAACAGCCGATTAAGTTTGGACTTATGTCTCGCTATGGTGAAACATAACGTTGATCTCGTCGTACTCGAGGGTATGGGTAGGACTGTTCATACCAATCTTTATTCAAAAATGACTTGCGAATGTTTGAAGTTAGCGGTGATTAAAAATCGGTGGTTAGCCCTTCGATTGGGTGGCGATATGTATTCTGTAATATGTAAATACGAACGAGCACCGGAGAAAATGAACATTTACGATATAGCAATGAAACCAACGGAATGTCCACAAGAGTGTGTAGAGAGAGTGACGGATATTTGCACCTGTGACGTTAAAAATAAATAAGTAAACTGTAAGTAACAATAGTGCCTTACACATTGGCAAGTTAATTTATATTAAAATCTTAATTTCATTTCAGGAACTGAAAAATCATACATAAAAAAGTATTTCTTTACTTACGTTTAGATGTATATACATATGTAAATGAAAAAAGAATTTAAGTACTACATTTTAGAATTTCATATGACAATTTATGTATATTGTACAAAAACTTTTAAATACTTTTACAAAATTTATCGTTATTTTTCCGACATTACAAAGAAACAACTATGAAAGAAAAGGAAGGAAACTTGGTTGATTGCATCATATATTTTGCGAAATGCTAAATGAGATTGATTAAAATGAAGATTTACATACAATTTGGCTATTTTAAATTTACAGTACGAATCGAGAGTATGGAATGTTGAATGTTACTGGATTATTCAAGTTTGACAAACTAGCCTACTTGTTATTCAAGTATAAAAGCTTTAGCGTTCCGATACATGGATAAATCATGACTAACACTTAGTCGAAGACAATAAGATTATTTTTTCTGTAATTTAAAGAGGTTACCGTAGTTTAAAGGATAAGTGATGCGATCAATTATAACAAAGATATGTATCATATAATATTGTATAATATATCTTCTGTGATAATGTAATATTCAAAAAGAAAGTTACATATACGTGATAAATTAAAACAGTAAATTGGAACAGTATAATAGAGTATAAAAATCAAATATTTTAAGTTGGCACCTTCTGATCACGAGATATTTTGTACAGATCTGTCGCTTCACGTCAAATTAAACAGTGTGAAACAGCGTTTCTTTCAGCATAATAAATTCAAGTATATGTCTCGAACGTATTCTTTTTTATTGTAATATTATAAGTCGAATATATTGATTTTTACAGTATTTATGAATACACTATACGTTTTCAGAAACGACCAATTTGTGAAGATATCCTTCACGATTGTACTATAACCTTACCAAAATGGTATTATAAACTTTTCCAAAATTTTATATAAGTAAAAGCGCGAAAATTCTAATGAAGACACTTTGTTGAAACTTAAAATGAACTACCGTGTTAAGATGAAACATGGTTTTCAAATCAGAGATTTATATGCAAACAATTTGTTAATACTTGATATAAATATATGCGTATGTGATATATGACTTGCTTTGTAACATGTAAATAAAATATGGATTTTCGAGACATAATGAAATTGAAAATCATTTATTCCCTATTACAATAGAAAATAATAAATTTTCAAAATGAAATAGAGTACATATGAAAAATTCTCCTTTTGGTGGTGGACAAATGAAAGTCCTTGGGGCAAGACAAAACGAGTAACAAATGAAGAAAGGATGGAAAGGAAGGAAAAAGTCTTATATGCATGCGGTACACGTTCCAAGTTCATTTCTTTCAGCCACGTGCGACGTAACGTCCGCGAATTTCCCTTTATTAAATTCCCATTGTGCGATATTGTCCCGTGGTCCGTTTCCGAATTCGCTTTACGATACTTTGTGAATGTGCTAAAAATTATACGACGTTGCTTAAATTATACAAATTTTTAAATGCAATAAAATCTTGTTATACAAATTGTCAGTACAGAATTATATTTATAGGATTAGAGCGGTAAGAAACTTCCAGTACGACTTGGAAATTAATACTTGCAAATGGCGTTCTTTAAAGACGTTGCATCTTTAAAGACTCCTAAAATTTTCCCGAACTTTTTCACGAGAGATTTCAGCAATTACCTACAATTTTAAACTCTTCAGAATTTTTCAACCCTCGTTATTGGCCCTCGTTCGCTTACAAGCTATGCTTTAAAAAAGAAGGTAGAAAAAGTAAACACGAGAAAGTCCGTTTTACGCGTGTCACTCGTAAATGCTTTATGAAAAGAGCATGTTTTACGAGAGTGCTCTTGGCGCCAATTTCATCAACCGAGATCGATGCATTTTCCCCGTTCCATGATTTATCTCTTTTTTACTATCAATGAATATCTTCAATTTTAACTTGATCGAGCAGTTCCTGGAAATCCTTTTGTCTGGAAATTTCTCGCATCCGAGAATGAGATTGCCCTTTAATTATGAGGCGCATTGTTGTTGAACTTTACCCTGGTGTCCTTTTCCATAAGAAGGAAACTACTTCTCTCTGAGTGAACAGCATAATGCTTTTAGGAAGATAGTTGATCTTTGTTTCTACTTCTTAACTACCCTGTGTCACGGAAAAAGCTGACTTTGAATCATGATTAACCATTTGTGACGTTCCAAGTGTCTGCAAGTGATTCATTCCGGTTAATAACCTCAATCTTCTGCAACATTAATAATATTAATATTAACATATTTTTTGAGATGATTGTTTATTAAAAATTGATAAATATAACAATAAATATAACTATCGTATTGTAGGAAAATCCGGTAAAGCTGTAAATTGATGTCCAGGAGAATTAAAGAATCCCGATGCGTCGAGTAAATAACCTCGCACGCGAGCGTGTCCTAAATTAACGTAATTAGAGCCTGGCGTTAAAACGAAGCGGCGATTTATCATTTGCGACCATTTATGCACGCTCGTCGTTTATCTATCAACACCCAGTATCGCGTTTAGTAATTCCCGGAGTTCGAACGTTAGAAATTTGCTAACGAAAGTCATGTTTAATTTATCTTTCGACGCGATGAATGCTGTAAGCAGAATACGCCAAAGGTTCAGTCTTGTCGTCAAAGAATACAAATTCTCCAAGTAAAAGGATCATTTCCGTTTCGAAAATAATGGATCAAATTAGCATCGTTATTAACTGTCGTCGCAAAAGGTACGTCAATATTGTCCAAGATCTTTGTTTCGAATAAAGAGGAAGTCGAGATCAACGTAAATGAATTACGACGCAATTCCAAGTAAATTAATAAATTTTCAACTTTCAATTCTTCTGAAATTTTAAAGTAGCTTACTGTGATAACTTAGATGTGTGGATTTTCTAATCGAAGTCCTCGGAATTTTTCACAGATAATTAATAATAAATAATTTTATAGCTGACGTTTATTAGATGCGACGCGGCGGGAAAAGAGCGCGCGCCTCACTGCGCATGCGCGTCAAAAAACATGGCGTCAATTCTCTGCCGCGCATGCGCATTAGGATACTTCCTTTTTATCGTATACCTCCTTTACTTTTCTGCGCTCCTGCTACCAGGAGCAGTCCCAAAACCACAAACGCTAGATGGCGTTGACTGTCGGTAAATTATCCACAAAGAAAAAATAATGAATATCAATTTTACGCTGTAAGCTTTCAGCTTACTCGTAACTGTAAATTTACTCAGTTTCCACAAATGGTTTTATCAAAATTACTTGCGTTAATCACTGTTACCGTATATGAGCCACGAAGAATATTAATCCCGCGAAAACAAACTGTTGACAGAGATCGACAACGCTCGAGTAAATCCTTTCCATTAATAATGACGATATTAAACGTGACGTTGCTGTGAATTTCGCTAACTGATAAGCGCGTCACGTTTGCGCGATTGCAGTATTCGTGATCATTTATTATCGACACGGTTGCAAAGGTGATTATGCGCGGATTAATCAATAATGAAGGAAAAGGTATCTGGCGTTCTATCGCGACCGAATAAATTCGGTCTGTGGTATGAATTTTACCCCTCAAAAACGCTTTCACGAGTTTGCAGCGTTTGATGTCGAAGCAGAACGCCGCGGTTTTTTCGCTGCTTCCTTGACACTGGTTAACCAACTGGCTGTTTCGCGACAATCGCGATACTCCTCCGTGAACTGTCGCCAGTGGATTAATTAAAAGCTGGGTAGCATCGAAACTAGAAACGGAATTCGACGAACGAGCTAGCGCAAACGTCCTCAGAGGGTTGCAAAACATTTCACAGGGAACATCGGTCGACCACAATTGCTCGCCGCTTCTAGAAACTTTCCCCGGAACCTGTTGATGCCACTTCTGTCGATGTTTTTCGCTTTCCAGCACGTTTCTCTCGAGGATGCGATGATTTTCCGCTCGAGGATCTCTTCAAGCCTGGCAGCAACGTTTCTCTACGGTTCACCGCATTTTTCTTGCATTTATGATATGGCGGGGTTTGTTTTACATTAAACTGTTTCAACTGCTTCCGGCAAATCTGTATTTTTACTACTAAATTACGAGCTGTCGAATTTTGCAGTATTCCAGAAATTCGCAATCGCTTTGATATAATTTCTGGATCAATTCTGAGTATCGAATGTTTGCCCCTTAATAAATGTACGCATCGGAACGCGAATAGCGTTTCTGTGCGGTAAAGTGGATGAAATTACTCGTAATTTGGTAATGAGCGCTGCGAAACGGCAACAAGAATCACCATAACCCACATCACGTACCGGTCATATGCGTAATGTAATGCTCTTAACTATGCGTTATAACAATAGGACCCGGTGTTATGACGTGTTTGTCCTACTGTATTCCACAAACAGTCGGAAGAGTAACGAAACTTTTTCAATTTAAGGAAAACTAGTGCCATCTGTTTTTACTCAAGAATATCCCGTGTGAAGCTTTCGAGTTTGAAGGACACGAAAATCCTGAATATAAATTTCAAAAGGCTGATCCTCATATATTTCCATGTATGTTAGTAACTATTGGTAGCGGCGTATTCTTAAAGTAAGAACAATATTGATCTTATAATATTCAAATAGTTTTAAAACAATTATAACTTAGATAATATTCTCAGGTGGAGTCTGAAAAAGTATTTGAAAGAGTTGGTGGAACAGCTACAGGAGGAGGAACATTCTGGGGACTAGGTTCTTTGCTCACAAAAAGAAAGGTACAAATATAAATTTTTTCAAATAAAATTAATAACACATAATCTTAAATAACAGCGTGTACACATTATTGAGATGAATGTAAATTTTATAAAAATGTCTTTAACAATTCCCTTGCTAGGGCTTTGATGAATTACTGCAACTTGCAGAACGTGGAGATCATCGTAATGTTGATATGTTGGTAAAAGATATGTATGGGGGTGATTATTCCTCTCAAGGATTACCTGGAGACCTTATTGCAGCTTCTTTTGGCAAAGCAGTGTTTTATAACGGTGAATGAGCAAATAATTGGTTGAATGATTAAATGAAAGATTTCAACATAAGAAATAATTTAAATTATATACATTCTAGGTCAACCTACATTTTCTGAAGCAGATCTTGCGAGGAGTCTTTTACTTACAATAAGTAATGATATTGGACAAATAGCTAGTTTGTATGCAACTGTACATAAAATGGATAGAGTTTATTTTGGTGGTTACTTTTTACGTAATCACCCTTTGTCAATGCATACCATTTCATATTCCATCAAATATTGGTCAAATGTTAGTTTGGAGAATTTTGTTTACACTACTACGTAATTATGATAAAAAAATATAACTTCTTTTTAAATCTAGGGCAAAGTAAAACCTCTATTTCTTCGTCACGAGGGCTATCTTGGTGCGATCGGAGCATTTTTATATGGTGCTGAACAGTCCAACGAGTATAGTTGGTTAGAAAACTATGCAGGATCATCAGGTTTCAAAGATTCGATATCCACTAATCTCGGAATTAAAGTTGCTCAGTTGGAAATTGATCAGGCAGAAAATGCTGTTACATTTTGTCCTCTTTTAAAAGATCCTGCATCTTACAATCCTGATACAACAGACCTTGCTCAAGATAAAGAAGCTAGGTGAGTTGAGTAAACATGTATTTTCATAAACACTACATTGTTGTAGAATAAGCAGATCGTTAATTTTGATGTCTCTAGAGATTACTGGCTGCAGTGTTTCGAAGAATCTGTAGATAAATTTGTAGCAAGAGCTATACACAGTCAGCCTTCTGAAAAATATAACTTCTTCTGGCAGTCAAAATGTTAAAGAAAACGTGTGGTCATTGCGTGGTAATTGAATCGGGCCATGTAATTTCCGAATTAAACTACAGAACTCCACAGCCACGTGTTGGCCAGCAGAATTATTTTGTGTAGCTGGAAATCGAGTATGACAACGAAGAGGAGTTGGGCAGCGGCGCGTGATAGAATCGCTCACGATCAAGCGAGCATCGTGCCTCCGCGAATTTTCCACGGATGGTCGAGTCGTTGTACAGGCCGTGTCCGAGGTGTACGTGTGTTCATTGGCCACCCATGACCCCATGCACGGTAACGTTGCATACGTGTGATCGATGAGAAGGCCATGTAAACAGCTTACAATGACGCGATTTCAGGCAATGGAGCCTTAATAGGGGTGTGCGTGGATGCTGAAAATGATAGCCCGACTCTTTTAGACCGAATATAATGGTCGTCATACCGATTGTTGCTATTATCGCCTGTCTTGTAAGCTCGATGTCGACAAAGCTACTGTTATCGTAGTTAAGGGTAGTCGGTTGAGCTTTCGGGGTGAACATGGAATTGTGCGAAGCGTACTGCTGTCAAGATTAACGCGGCGGAATCGTGGAATGAGTTCAAAGCTTCTTCGAACTTTAGATATGTACGGTGAATGAGCAAATAATTGGTTGAATGATTAAATGAAAGATTTCAACATAAGAAATAATTTAAATTATATACATTCTAGGTCAACCTACATTTTCTGAAGCAGATCTTGCGAGGAGTCTTTTACTTACAATAAGTAATGATATTGGACAAATAGCTAGTTTGTATGCAACTGTACATAAAATGGATAGAGTTTATTTTGGTGGTTACTTTTTACGTAATCATCCTTTGTCAATGCATACCATTTCATATTCCATCAAATATTGGTCAAATGTTAGTTTGGAGAATTTTGTTTACACTACTACGTAATTATGATAAAAAAATATAACTTCTTTTTAAATCTAGGGCAAAGTAAAACCTCTATTTCTTCGTCACGAGGGCTATCTTGGTGCGATCGGAGCATTTTTATATGGTGCTGAACAGTCCAACGAATATAGTTGGTTAGAAAACTATGCAGGATCATCAGGTTTCAAAGATTCGATATCCACTAATCTCGGAATTAAAGTTGCTCAGTTGGAAATTGATCAGGCTGAAAATGCTGTTACATTTTGTCCTCTTTTAAAAGATCCTGCATCTTACAATCCTGATACAACAGACCTTGCTCAAGATAAAGAAGCTAGGTGAGTTGAGTAAACATGTATTTTCATAAACACTACATTGTTGTAGAATAAGCAGATCGTTAATTTTGATGTCTCTAGAGATTACTGGCTGCAGTGTTTCGAAGAATCTGTAGATAAATTTGTAGCAAGAGCTATACACAGTCAGCCTTCTGAAAAATATAACTTCTTCTGGCAGTCAAAATGTTAAAGAAAACGTGTGGTCATTGCGTGGTAATTGAATCGGGCCATGTAATTTCCGAATTAAACTACAGAACTCCACAGCCACGTGTTGGCCAGCAGAATTATTTTGTGTAGCTGGAAATCGAGTATGACAACGAAGAGGAGTTGGGCAGCGGCGCGTGATAGAATCGCTCACGATCAAGCGAGCATCGTGCCTCCGCGAATTTTCCACGGATGGTCGAGTCGTTGTACAGGCCGTGTCCGAGGTGTACGTGTGTTCATTGGCCACCCATGACCCCATGCACGGTAACGTTGCATACGTGTGATCGATGAGAAGGCCATGTAAACAGCTTACAATGACGCGATTTCAGGCAATGGAGCCTTAATAGGGGTGTGCGTGGATGCTGAAAATGATAGCCCGACTCTTTTAGACCGAATATAATGGTCGTCATACCGATTGTTGCTATTATCGCCTGTCTTGTAAGCTCGATGTCGACAAAGCTACTGTTATCGTAGTTAAGGGTAGTCGGTTGAGCTTTCGGGGTGAACATGGAATTGTGCGAAGCGTACTGCTGTCAAGATTAACGCGGCGGAATCGTGGAATGAGTTCAAAGCTTCTTCGAACTTTAGATATGTAAGGGAAATTGACACAGATACCTGGAAAGTTTAATCCAACTTTGAAAATCCTTCGCTGTTTCACGATTCTGATTAACACTTTGGTTATTAATATTATTCACGACACTTGTCTCTGTACTACTTGAAGGACACTCGCACTACTTGCAATTACGAACTTAAAGCGAGAAAACGAACGTGACTTAAATATCCGTTTAAGCATGGTGGAAAAAAACCATGGACCCGATATTGACAGGGCCAGTACGTGGCTCGTTTGAAAGCCGTTTCGAAGGTTTTTACTAAAGCTTTGCTCACTGGAAAATTGCTTCGTGCATCGATTGACCCTCGGAGAACGTTATATTCTCGCGTATTACAATTTCTGATCGGATCGAATATGTGAGAAATCTTGAAAATATTTCTGGATCCCGAATTTAATCCTCGAACGGGTCAATCTTCATATACGGATTTTCGAGGAGCTACTTATGCAAACGTACATTGAGTCTACCGGTTACATCTTTCTGAGAACGTGGCCTTGGCAAGAATGGCCGTCTCCGAGATGACATAACCGTCTGAATCACCGATTAAGATCAATTACCCCAGTGCCGGTCCAACGCTTCTCGGAGCAAGTTTCATTTCATAAATTCGGTCAGGTGATTTAAAACGAGTGAATTCACAAACTTGCCACTACATTTTCGCAAATCTGTAAGTACGGTGTAAGTTCCATTTTTTCTTGCAAGTTATTTCGCTTCATACGATAGAGGATCATAAAAACTTCATCGTTCACGAGCTCCTCGCTGAAACAAGAGGCCATTCATCTTCGCCGACGCTTGCTAGGAAAAAGCTGCGATGCATTTAAATTACAAATATTGAGCAGTGGATACCGGAGGACACGATGAATGTTTCGCCAGGGAAATCGTTATTGATTTCCTTGTCGGACAGCGAATTGATAATGTTACCCGTTGGGCGTTGATGGACACGAAAATTATGAAGCAAATATTCATTAGGGATCGACAGCTCCAACCTTCCCTCGAATCTTTCCTTACATTGTGAAATAGGATTCGTCGCGAGAGACGCAAAGTTACCGATCAAATTTAAGCTCGCGAACTCGAAACTTCAAAACTTACACGCAAGTTCCCACTCTGCATACGTTCAACTCCTGCTCGGCATGCACGCCGCGGGGTCACGAATTTTCTAGACAAATTGTATTCTTTGCACGTTGTATCCTCCAGGTGCATGTTAAGCACGGGGAGTTCGATTAACAAGAAAAATTGTATTTGCAAGGAAATTGTAAGCATGGAATTAACACTTTGTTAACGATGTATTTCAATAACCGGAGTTTGGACAGTTATTATTTTTACGTTTCAAGATTACCGCTGACCCGGTTGCGCATTGGAAAACTCGTTACAGAAGTTACATCAGTTAATTATATCTAACTGGATTAAACGAGCGGAGAGAAATTTTTTGTGGTTTCAGATTTTTGCAAATAGAACTCCTGGTATGAATATTGTTAGATGTATGCAGAGATGATGTACAAAATGATGATGAAAAGATGTGTGCAGAGATGATATACAAAGATGATGATCAAAAGATGTGCATAGAAATGATATATAAAAATGATGATCAAAAGATGTACACATATCTGAAACACGCTTAAACCTTTCACTACTTGTGTTCAATTAAAGTATCAATATTTTTAACAAAACATATTCTGCCTCTCTTGGAGTAATTTATTAAAAATGATGATAAAAAGATGTACACACATCTGAAACACGCTTAAACCTTTCACTATTTGTGTTCAATTAAAGTATCAATATTTTTAACAAAACATATTCTGTCTTTCTTGGAGTAAGTTATTAAAAATGATTATAAAAAGATGTACACACGTCTGAAACACACTTAAGCCTTTCACTACTTGTGTTCAATAACAGTATTAATATTTTTAACAAAACATATTCTGCTTCTCTTGGAGTAAGTTATTAAAAATGATGATCAAAAGATGTACACTGAGATGATATACAAAGATGATGATCAAAAGATGTACACATATCTGAAATACGCTTAAACCTTTCACTACTTGCGTTCAATTAAAGTATCAACATTCCTAACAAATCATATTCTGCCTCTCTTGGATTAAGTTATTAAAAATGATGATCAAAAGATGTACATAGAGATGATATACAAAGATGACGATCAAAAGATGTACACATATCTGAAATACGCTTAAACCTTTCACTACTTGCGTTCAATTAAACTATCAACATTCCTAACAAATCATATTCTGCCTCTCTAGGTTTAAGTAATTGAAAATAATGATAAAAAGATGTACACATATCTGAAACCCACTTAAACCTTTCACTACTTGCTCAATTAAACTATCAATATGCCTAACAAACCATATTCCGCCTTTCTTGGATTAAGTTATTAACCCTGCAGGAAATTCGGCCATATCACGTATTCCACTGCAATTACCGCCCAAAGTACGAGATAATTAATTAGTAACGGTTAATGGTTCTCCGATAATTTCGACTATCGATCGGAAGTTCGAGGAAGCATCAGATAAAAATCGTGGAACGCAGAATTATTTATAGGCTTGTGGCCAGGTGGACGTTGACAAATAGGTCTTGCGCAAAACGATTCGAGAAAACGTTGCAACGAGAAAGAACGATTAAGCGAGATCCACGGTACTGCGGGAAAAAATTGTCGCTCTCAGCGAGTGAAGAAAGATACAAGCTGTCCTGTGTACGAAGTTTTACTCTCTTTTTCATGGAGAAATAATCAGGTCTTTGGAAACAATACCGAATTTGCATTTCAAATCCGTTACTTTATTTTGATCACATCTATTCTTCCCATCACTATTATGGAGCCTTGTTCCACAGCAAAGGTGTTCTATTTTATTGACGATCTAGAGTATTTTTTTTAACACTAAAACTACCGAAATTAAATTCTCGTTTATCAAAGAACGAAAAATAAATAAATACTAAATAATAAAATTTTGTAATACAAAATGAGAAATCTGAAACCAGTCATTCTGACTAGTTCTAGTGTTAATGAAATCATGAAATAAAAAGTATCGCAATGTAAAGTCTGACAAATCTTGTATATTTTTAATGGGAAGTGTGAGAGTAGTGAATCAGCGTCTGACCATAGCTCGACTTGTACTACTGGTTTCCACCCCTGATCTTCTGCCGAAACTAAAGTAACATCGCGGAACAAAGGAGCCACTTAGGAAGCAAACTTTATGCGAGTCGACGCGCGTTGAATGCCACCGGTAATTGAATCTAATTCTTATTCCTCGAACGTGTGTCCCGTAAAGTCGTGGGCCTCGTAGAACTGTAAACTCGAGTACACTTACTCCTGCCTTCCACGTTTCTTTCCCCTATCTTTGCCGCCTTGACACATACTACCACGCCGTATTCTCTCGTTATGTTTGCCTTCGCTCGTGATTCCTTGCTGGTTTCCTTTAAGAGCCATCCGCTCTGGAAACATCGATAACTCTTCAGCTTTGAGATAAAAGCCCCAAGAACTTCGCTGCTTTTCGTTGTCTGATAGATGGGAGACTCTCTATCAATTTTACATAGAAATAATCTGTGGCTAGAAAGAATTACAATATGTCTTCTGTTTTTTTTATTTCATTTATTCACATTTGCAAATTATTCACGTTTGTAAAATCTTTCATTTTGCAGACCCTTCATTCGTGTCCACTCTTTTCAACATCTAAGGATTTTCTTGAGAACTTGAAACCTTTTCCACAGAAAGTATTCTGTATTCATTTTTTCAAACTTACTCTCGTAGCTCATGTTGCAGACTCAATCCATTAGCATACGGTCATTAGCTAATTTGTTTATTCGTTTCAGCTGGTTGAGAGGTCGCGATCTCTAAGTCCCGGCGAAAAACCGGCGGACAAACGCGATACACCCACGGGACGATTAAAGCGCTAATTTACGATGATGGGTTAATCGACGTGTTGTTTCGGGAAGTCGATTACCAGCGACCGTTTGTCATCGTTGGACTGATGTTCCGGAAGCCAGTTCGTGTTACTGCGATTTCCATATTCGAGAGAATCATGCGTGCGGTAATATTTCTCCCTGCAAAGCTGCTTTTACGGTGTTTTATCCGATCTATGTAATCAACAGCTTTGATCGTCAATTCTGTGATATATTTCGTTAAGTCTTTGTCGCGGCCATCTTGTTTATATCTCGAGCGCCATTTTGTTGTGAACGTTTCGTAACCAGTATTGATTTTACGAATTATAAAATTGATTATAAAATTATGTAGTTTAAAATTGTATATTTATAATCAATTATAAAATTGGTTATAAAATTATGAAGTTTAAAATTGTACATTTATAATCAATTATAAAATTGATTTTAAAATTATGAATTTATAATTTTATATTAATTGATGTTTTATAAAAATTAATTATAAAATGATGAATTTATAATTTTATAATAATTTATGTTTTATAAAAATTGATTATAAAATGATGAATTTATAATTTTATAATAATTTATGTTTTATAAAAATTGATTATAAAATGATGAATTTATAATTTTATAATAATTTATGTTTTATAAAAATTGATTATAAATGATGATTTTATAATTTTATAATAATTGATATTTTATAAAAATTGATTATAAAATAATGAATTTAAAAATTACACATTTACAATGAATTATAAAATTGATTATAAAATTATGAATTTAAAAATTACACATTTACATTGAATTATAAAATTGATTACAAAATTACAAATTTACAATTTTATAATGATTGATATTTTATAGAAATTGCTTATAAAATTATGAATTAAAAAATTATACATTTACAATGAATTATAAAATTGATCACAAAATTATAAATTTACAATTTTATAATAATTGATATTTTACAAAAATTGGTTCTAAAATTATGAATTAAAAAATTGTACATTTACATTGAATTATAAAATTAATTACAAAATTACAAATTTACAATTTTATAATAATTTATATTTTACAAAAATTGCTTATAAAACTATGAATTTTAAAATTATAAAATTGATTTAACGAAAAGAAGTAAAAGCAACAGCAAAAAAGAAGAAACGATGGCAGAGTCTGAAGATGGTCAACACGGATCTTCCGTTTCTATCCGAATTCTTCTTTCACTTTCTTCTGGGCTATTCTTCGCGTACGACTCGATCTAGCTTAACGACCCTCCCACGACGCTCGCCAGATATAAGCCGACAGTCAAAGGGATCCTAAGCACAAAGGGTTGCTGGGCGCAGTCGAAAAGTTTGCGTTGAATTTCACGTAGGCAGCCGCCATCCGCAGACCAACACACAACGAACGATGTTGTAATCCGTTTAAGAGGAAACTTGTGGAGTTCAGGAACGTCTGGCACCCACGACTCGACCCAGTTGTTATTTCGCCACGGAAATCACATTTAATGGGCTGCCGTCGTGTCGTTCGATCGATCGAATCTACTTTATAGAGGAATATCTTACTCTTTTATGCTTTACTTTTATTTATTTTTTTTAGGGATATTAATATTGACTTGTTGAGATTATTTTTACATTTACAAATTTATTTTGACAAGTTTATTTATTTAAATGTCATAGATCGTTTGATGATGTATTTAAGGTTGTTTTTGTGATCTGTTAATTTTAAGATTAATAATTATATTTTAAATAATAAATGATCATCAAAATGTCAGTAAGTGATCCATCGACAACCACAGCTGTTTCTAAGATTAAATTATATTGTAAATAATAAATAAATAATCAAAATGTCAGTAAGTGATCCATCGACAACCACAGCTGTTTCTAAGATTAAATTATATTGTAAATAATAAATAAATAATCAAAATGTCAGTAAGTGATCCATCGACAACCACAGCTGTTTCTAAGATTAAATTATATTGTAAATAATAAATAAATAATCAAAATGTCAGTAAGTGATCCATCGACAACCACAGCTGTTTCTAAGATTAAATTATATTGTAAATAATAAATAAATAATCAAAATGTCAGTAAGTGATCCATCGACAACCACAGCTGTTTCTAAGATTAAATTATATTGTAAATAATAAATAAATAATCAAAATGTCAGTAAGTGATCCATCGACAACCACAGCTGTTTCTAAGATTAAATTATATTGTAAATAATAAATAAATAATCAAAATGTCAGTAAGTGATCCATCGACAACCACAGCTGTTTCTAAGATTAAATTATATTGTAAATAATAAATAAATAATCAAAATGTCAGTAAGAGTTCGACCCACAGCTCAGTTACTCCTAAGATTAAATTATACAGTAAATAATAAATGCTCCTTGTTTTCCTAATCCTTCAAGACTCGGCAAGAACGTTAATTTACCTTAATGGACAAAATTGGTCGCGATATTAGAACTCCTTAAGAATCAGGACGAAGTAGTTGGACCATTATAGAACTTCTTGCAGGCTTATCGAAGTTTGTTAAGCGACGCAGCAGAGGATAAAAAGCGGAAAAGACAAACTGGAGAAACAAAGAGGGTGAAAACCGATAAAAACAGGAACAAAGTTCAAGAACACGGATATTTTGATGGGTGAGGTTAATTTTCCGATTAACCTTAATTATCGAGAGCATGCCTTACAGCTGCTAAATCTTACGTTACGTTTTCTTTTTCGCGAGCTTTTTAGCATTCACGCGCTAATGCGAATATCTCGTTATTTCTTTTCACTGTTCGAAAGTTTAGACGCTTGCAGGGATCGTTGGAAAGTCTTGGAGTTAGAGAATACTTACCGATGTCCACAGTTTCTTAAAGTACTTGTTCGATGAGACTTCCTAGAAGACTAACGAGAACGAAAGTTTACGGAAGAATAAATTCCCAGAAACCGTCAAAGTGATCTCTTTATTGTTTCATATTTATACACATAATAAGCATACGATTACATCGTATTAGGTACTAGATCGTATTATTATTCAAATGAAATATATTTCATTTTATTTATTCATTTTTATATCGAGCTTTTGTACAATAAATAAAGACTCTAGAGCATTCAAAACATAACACGGCGTACACTTTTGCGATTGCCATTCAAGTATACAATAATTTAACGAGTTCCCCATATGTATATCGTTATCGTCGTTATATTAAATGCTCAACGCTGTTTCATACTGACGAGGATATATATACAGGTAGTTTCTTTCATAGAACTTTAAATAAACCATAACGGTTCCATCATTTTGATTCCAGAATCACGTAGTCACGAGAAGCTGCGACTTTACACGCGTTCAACAACGCGAGTCTCCGCTCAAACGCATTCGTTTGCTTTCGGTTTAAATAGGAAATAACTATACCACGCTGTCTGTGGGACTTTCAAAATTAATTAAATTCATAGAGTCGCACTTTTTTGTTTACGGACATCTTGTTCAGTGACGGCCATCTTATTGACGGCCATCTTGTTGACTGACGGCCATCTTGTTTGCACCGCCATGTTGTTTACATCAGCGTCCGTCTCAAACTTTAACATTTGACTTTATTAAACATGCGGTATTTATCGTTGAAAATTACCTGACAACCGTGAAGACAAATTTTGAAAGTGTTTGAGACAGATGTTACTTACAAACAAGATGGCCGTAGACGAACAAAATGGCCGCGAACGAACAAGTGCGACTCTCCGTCTATTAAAAGAAAATCGTATCGGAAAACAATGCTAACTTAAACAGAAAATAAAAGTAAATTCGCAAACATTCTACAGCAAAAGTACTATTAATTCTACGTAAACTTTTCGAATAAAAATCCCACATGCTCGCATCGAAATTGAAACGGGTATTAAAACGACATGGGTAAAAAAGTTTCACAATAGAATTTTGTACGTTGTCGTATAAAAAGGCATACGAGACGTAAGACTGGCAGAATCGAAGGTCCATATAAAAACATCGTCCGAACGAATATTTCGTTAAGTATAAAAAGAGAAAATTGTGTTCATTCTTATTTGAGAAGCGAGTGCGATTGAGGACATTACTCGAAATTGATCGAATACTTCGATCATGACACGAACAATATTAATATTCATCTCTAACGATTTAATGTTAACTATCTTACAATGGTACAACGTACACTGCTCTTCCCCGTCATCTTTCTCGATTTCTCGAGTCAGGAGAAAGACTCTGAATGAATGACGATATGATCCGATTTAAAACCAAAGTCTCACGACAAAAACTTATCCTATCGGAAAATTGTCGCACGATAGTCGGCTACAACCGATCGCCCGCGAAAACCGATCCACTATTGTCTTCTTAAATCCACGAATCGAGAATTTACATACAAACATGCATTTTTTCTATCTAACGCGACTAATGTTCACGGAGAAGCTCGTTCACAAACGAGGATTATCTTTGCTGGAGGATCGATGCGTTCGACTCTTTCATCGGTTACTCGACAAGGAACTCCTCTTCCCCTCTTTTGTTATTCCACCTCCTGTTGAGTAATGCTAGCTCGAGATTTCGAGTTACTCTGTCAGAAAATTCATTAAGAAAAACAGGGTTGAAGGAGCATGTTGGAGGATGAAATTAGATACAAATGCGTTTTGCGAGGAAAGTATCAAGATTATTCACGAATCGAAAGTTTAATCTCGGGTCAATACCCGCGTACAAGTTAGGTACCAAGTGTAGGCTTCCAGAAAGCTCTGTTAAATCCTCTAATCTACTTTCGCGAAATCCCCTGTTCTCTTTAACACGTGCGGGGTATTCGCTGGATGAAGCGAAAACAATATTAATTTCAAAGCTTGCTCTTGATTTTACTAATGAAGAGCCTATGTTAACGCTAGAACACCGAAGTCACAGTTCAGAATTTTTATTAAGGTTCTTGAAAGCTTTATACATTACTCTCTTTCGCTTGTATGAATTTAATATACGATTTTGTCAGAGCGAATTAAGGAAAGAAGTGAAAGAGTCGACACGCTCGAGACATTGAACTTCGATCCTGTTCGACGAGAACGATCGTCTAGGCTATTATAAATACGCGGACAGGCATCATCGAGTCCGTATTGTTTCAGTCGAGAACGCTCGAGGGATCTCCTTCGAGGAGGAACGAAATCTCGCGATAACAAGGGCCAACCCCGGTATTTCGAGCGGAAACGAATCGTTCCCTTGGAAGCTGGCATTGTCGCGAGAAATGGAATCCGGGACAGCGTGTTGGCCCGCGTTTCTCGTCCACGAATTCCTTCGGCTCTTTTCGCGTTTCCTCTTTTTATCTTTCGGCGAGATTCTCGTTACGATTGCGTCGTGCAGCGGACGCGTCGTTAGCTGCGTTGGCAATTAAAGGGCTTTTTTCCCGTCCGCGGATCGAGAGTTACCTCTTATCAAGTTGTATCGACCTGGACTCTACTGAGAAACCTTGGATACTTGTCGAGAATCTCAGGACGGTTGAAATTGCTCGCTGGGAAGTGATTTTGATTTGTTAAGGTTTGACGCTTGTTGCGCGGTGTACAGGCTGACTCAAAATTGGTGCGCGAAGAGTACGTGGAAAACGTCCTGCAGTTTGCAGTTCTTCTGTTCAAATATAATCAGAGTGACTGTAAATACTGACATTTTTAACAATAGTTACTTTGTGGATATTCATTACAACTTATGTCAGTACAGTAAAAAATCTCTGCATGAAGGACTCATACTTTTAACAACAGTTACTTTGTGCATACACATTATAACTTATGTCAGTACAGTAAAAGATCTTTGCCTGAAAGATTTATACTTTTAACAACAGTTACTTTGTGCATACACATTATAACTTATGTCAGTACAGTAAAAGATCTTTGCCTGAAAGATTTATACTTTTAACAACAGTTACTTTGTGCATACACATTATAACTTATGTCAGTACAGTAAAAAATCTCTGCATGAAGGACTCATATTTTTAGAAACAGTTACTTTGTGCATACACATTATAACTTAAGTCAGTACAGTAAAAAATCTCTGCATGAAGGACTCATACTTTTAACAATAGTTACTTTGTGTATATTTGTTACAACTTATGTCAGTGCATAGCAAAAAATTTCTGCATGAAAGACTCATACTTTTAACAAAAGTTACTTTGTATATACTCTTTACAACTTATGTCAGTGCACAGTAAAAAATTTCTGCATCAAACAGTATGGCAATATGTGCAGTATTTGTTGTAGTGAAAGATTGGACCAATATTTGAGATCAAACAAGAAGATTTGAAATCTGCTACATATAAGTTTTGTCATGTGTGAGTTTTCATGTCATGTAAGTTTCAAAATTCTTTCATCTCAAAGAGTCTCCCATAAAGAGTCACCCACTCCCCAATTTCTCTAAAAGAATCCACGTACCCTCCCAACGTATTTAAACCACCCTGTACCCAAAAACAGATCATCTCCCAAAAACCGTACGTCCGTTAACAGTAAGAAAGTCGCGGAGGAGCCCAAATCAGCTAACGAGTTTGATGAAATTCGCAGGTGCTCTTAGATCGCCACTACCAAGAGCCGAAGAAGACGCTGAAGAGCACTCCCATCAAGCCGAGTAAACCGATCAGATTGACGGAACCTCTTCGCCAGACGGCGCTGTTCATACAGGTCTCTCGAATGCTGGCGATCTTCAGGCCGCGACGAGTCAACAGATTGTGAACTCCGCGTTTGTCGCTCTTCTGAAGGATATGCTCGCGCGCCAGCAGCAGGGAGTACAGTTGATTGTCGGGACTGGCGGCGCAGAAAGTCAACACCATATCTGATGCCACTGCTTTCATCACGTGTACGCTGCCGGTGAACTGAGTGTACTGTTTCTGCACCAATGTACCTGTTGGCAAGATCATACAGTGAATAATTTCGAGGTGTTTATGATGAAAGATGATTGAAATCATACAAAAATTTTGGCATCCGAAGTAATCGTATTTTGGGACCTCAATTTATTTTGTGATTTAGCTTGCAATTAACTTCTTGCTTTTTGACGAGCCAGACTTAAATGCAATCTTGCTTGAATATTTAATACATTTCAATTTGCAGTTCGAGACTAATTATAATTTGTCAAAGATTATTTTGTATTCAGAGTTGAATGCAAAATAGTTGCAATATTTTGAATTTCTTTAACGATTAAATTCTTGTTAATAGTTTTGATCGACAGACAGAAACTAATACGGCAAGGGGTTAAGCTGTCAGAAGGTTCCAATTAAATTTTTGCTCCTGTTATACAGATATACATGCAGATATTCTGTGTCAACGTTGGAGGTATACGAAGGATTTATCAGTCGTTCGATGCAGGTTTCCCGAGGGACCGAGACAAAGAGAAATCGGGATCCGGAGTAAATCAGCAGCGGAAATCAGTGAATCGGTCTGATTATCGCTGGCTAGGAATGTCGACGTATTCCCTCTCTGGAAATCTGTCACATTATGCGCCATTATGTCGTTGATGTACTTACTCCTCTGATTAGGAACACGCAGAGACAAAATTATGCACGTGTGTCGCATTCAGGATCTATATCGAAGAAACATCTGCATCGACTCTTTACAATTGAAGAATAAAATCGACAAACGTCAGAATGTTGCTTACATTCGTTTTTTCGGTTCCCCGGTTCTTGTCATTCCATCGTTTTATTAATCGACAGCAATAAATAATCGGGTGAAGCGATTCGTAAGCGGTGAATCAAAACGTGTTCGATCGAGCCGAATTTCACGGCGGCTACAATTAATTTCATCGGATTAAACGTCAATACCTGGGAGATAGTGTCCGTTTACACAACGAAACAGTTTAATGGACGAGACTGTAATATTACGATAACACGTCGTGTTGACGTTATTGCGATTGGCACGTACTAGGCGCGTGACAATCGTTTCTCGAACTAATAATGCTCGCTGTTTTATTTGTGGGACGTTGGTTGAATTGGAACGAGGAAATTGCAAAAATGTTCATTCAAGGAAACGGGATCTTTAACCCCTTGTTACATCTTATACTTCAGCTTGCACTCCAGTGGTCAATTTTAGTCAAATTAGAATTATTAGAATTAGAATTACTTTAATTTGGAGTAATTTGCATAGTCAATGATACCAAATTGACACACTTCTTTTGTAATATTGATGCAATATTGATTATAATTTGTAATACAGTATCTGCGATTAGGTTATGTCACCCCAGACTAAATAGGGTAAGTTAATATCGAATCCAACTATTCGACTACTAAAACCTCGATTAGAGTAAATCAACAGTGAATAGGTGCAACCTTACGGAAGAGGGTGTAACTTTAGGCCATAACGAGTGTCGATGCATCGAAGGATATACAGGGAGTCGCACAACTAGTAGATCCCTGAAATGGGAGATAGCTGAATTAATTCTGAATAAGATTTCCCTTTGCAAAAATGGGATTTGAAGCTCCGTTTTTGAATTATTAAGGAAAAACGCGGAGCAATCAGAGTGCGAGGATTGCGCATGCGCAGACGCGAGAGCGACAGCTTCGAGCTAGCGAGTGGTAAATGCAATGTATAGTATATTCAACGCTTGGTGAGTGCAACGCGTAAGAAATCAATGCGTGGTGAATGTAACGCGTGGTAAATACAACGCGTGGTAAATACAATGCGTGGTAAAGAACGCGTGGTAAATGCAATGCGTGGTGAATACAACGCGTGGTAAATATAACGCTTGATAGGTGCAGCACGTGGTAAGCAACGCGTGGTAAGTGCAGCACGTGGTAAATGCAACGCGTGGTAAGTGCAATACGTGGTAAAGGACGCGTGGTAAATACAGTGCGTGGTAAATACAACGCGTGGTAAATACAATGCGTGGTAAAGAACGCGTGGTAAATGCAATGCGTGGTGAATACAACGCGTGGTAAATATAACGCTTGATAGGTGCAGCACGTGGTAAGCAACGCGTGGTAA